TTTTTTTACATACATGAAAAAGCGACCTGGAATTGGATGTACAATAGCACAATAGCATTTAGCATTCACAGAACAAGTTTTAAATTTAACTACTTGGACCATAAATGCTCAAATCCAAGAAATATGGATTTATCTGCATGCCCAAATACCCAGTAAATCTCAGACTTTTACATGCAAAATTTGACAAAAGCAGTCTACAATTCTTTTTGCGGCTATACAATCAAAGGTTGCCGGCATTTACACATCAAATCACTCGCCTGTGTCGAACAAGACTTAGAAATCATAAGAAGAGATTTTTGAAAGGTTCTTAGAGGCACCGTCCACCCAGACTCTCGCTTCCATGGGATCGTAGCGGGGCCTTTTCGTGTCCCTGAATCCGAGAAGTCGAGAATCTGCGAAATGACCGACAATCCACTTCTCGGAAAACCCGCAGTTCGGTCTCCGGAGATGTTTGTTTTCGAGATTGCAAAACGTCAAACCTTGACTGCGACATCAATTGCTTTCATTAATGATTTGCATCTTCTTGTTCACTTGTCTCCTCCTGCGCTGGCTAGCGCTCTGATTTCCTGGTTTTTCATTAATCTTATCTCTGGTTGCGAAGAAGTTTGGCCAAAATGTACGCCGTACCGATTGCAGAAAATTCAAAGGTTATTGTCAATTGATCACACATACGATCCCAATGTGTTCACAATTGCCAATGCCTTCGATGATGTTTCTTTTACAGTTTACTGAAGAGTAACGAAAATGTCAGCAGTTTCCATACTTCCAACAAAAGCAAAGCCGCGAAGAAAGTAAAATACGCTGCGTCAACCTCACAAGGGACTTCAGTGATTCGTTAACATTCAGCCTGTTTATTCACCTGAAAAGCAAGTATGAGAAAGTTTGTAGAAATCATGTGATGAGTACAACAAAGTTAATGAGGTTTGCGATTTCGAACATCAGAAACAACGCATATTCTGCTTTTCGGTAAAGTTTACTTTCCTCTTTCCTGAAAAAAGCGAGAAGTACTGAGCCAGTAACTCGATTAGCCTGCTCACCTTTTGGCGCTCTCCTTGATGTTCTCCCCATGGCCAGAAAGGAAGCGTTTAAGATACGGTAAGACAAGTGTTGCTGTGAGCGCAAATACCATTATCAAAGGATTCCCCATTACATAGATAGCTGAAAAATTTTAAGTTATAAAATACATTTCAAACAAAAATAAAAAATCCAGAACGATTTTGCTCAAGCAATCGATACTAGCCACTAACCTATTTTTGGTAAGCTTTTTGTTTTTGACAGGCAGTTGCGAGAATTCCCAATATAAACGTCAAAGACATTATGTTAGTGAGCGCCATACCAAGCTGCAAATTTTTCAAGATTTTCATTTTACAAATGCCAAAAAAATTTACCTTTCCCATGCTGTCAGCTGATTTTATGAAAACGCCAAAAATTGACAGTATATTGATAACGAAGGACGGTGTAATAATCATTGTGATGTAGAACGATGGACTCCTTTTCATCAAAATGACGAAACTGCTCTGCAATAAACCTTTTCAGTGTTTTTACAAAATCGGATAATCATTGTTTTGGCTAAAACAGTTTATGACCAGAGTGAATAAAACTGCCAAAAAAGGTCTGGCCTTGAATGGGAACTACAGACAAACAGAAGATTTGTCTCATTTATCTCTAATATAAAGCAGAAACTTTGTGTGTTTGTGTACATTTC